ATTTTCATGTGTTAAGAAGAAAGACTTTCTCCTAATTGATTATTTAAGTAGTTTGTTATGATAAACTTGTAGTTAGAAATGTCAGTCATATCTTTAGTTCTAATAAATTAATTATCTTGGATTATTATCCTGGATTGGTTGAAGTTAGACATTAACACCGTTGGATACCGGCTCATTGGTCTAATGGTTAATCGCTCGCGCGCAAGACTGATAGGTCTTGGGTTCTAATCTCTCGGGGGGCGGGATCGTGAATGCGTGCTGCTGAGGAGTCCCATACTAGGACGAAACGGCCGTCCAGTGCTACCAGGGTTCCCATGGTGGTCTAGCTTCAATTGACTCACGATTTCAACCATTGAAATTATGAACAAGTCAACATCACTCTCTTGTTCATATGTTTAAACTAATAGGTGATTGTGATTTATGAATCATATCTATTAAATGGAATGAAACATTTTTCTTTTTGGTCATACTGACCTTAGTTAGACAAATAAACATTCTCAGCAGTACACATTCACCAACATACTGGAGATTGAATCCAGGATTTTTTTAGTTTAATAGCGAATGATTAGTGTTTAGATCACTAAGTTGTTATACAATGGTTTATATGTTTAATTGAAATTAATTCTTAATATTACACAGCGGTTTTCAATCTTAATGATTAGTAACTGACTTACACTCCATGTGGTTGAACTTCATTGATCAGTATAAAGTAATCTGATTAATAGATATGAATCTAAAGCTGATCATATGACTTGAAAAATAATACAATTCAAAATACTCATGTACAAAGTTATCAGAAGCATATCGATCATATCTATGCATGGATTTAGTTTTTTTCCCGTTTTTGATATTAAGGACTGTATGAATCAATCTCTTTTGATATCTGTATATCCTAACCAAATTACTTTTGTAGTATCATTGATTATAAGGATGAATTGTGCCTAGCAATGCTGACGTTCAGCACTAAAGGTATTGGTTTTGAGTCTCAGTGTGAACATTGACACTGGGACCCAGGTAATCTCAGCCAAAATGTTTCACAAAGAACTAAACATGTGTCTTGAATTCCATTATATTATTCATACATAAGTCGGCTCGACTGAAATAGATAATGAATTGATTCAAAATGTTAGTGTTTAAGTAGTCAGATCACATCATTACATGTCTATTAGCTAACCAACTTTAACATATGTATATGTAAAATAGGGTTTATTCGATGTATAAAGTTAAAGACTTATCAGGTAAAATTTATGCACCTACAGATAAGTGAATTTTGACTTGAAATAGCTCTTACGTAATATCAGGAAAAAGAAAATGCATCTATACAGCTTAAAATTAACTTTTATTTATGTTCAGAAGGGGTTTGTGGAGATTTTTAGAAATTTTCGCAGATTGAAATCATGAGTCAGTTGAAGCTAGACCACCATTGAAAACCTGGAAGCACTGAACAGCCGTTTCGTCCTAGCATGGGACCCCTCAGCAGTGCGCATCCACGATCCCTCACCACGCGGGGCTCGAACCCAGGACCTACTGGCTTCGCGCGCGAGCACTTAACCACTAGATCACTGAGCCGACATCCAACGGTGTTAATGTCTAACTTCAACCAATCCACGAAGTTGCGCCACCATATACCATTGTCTTCAGTGAGCTGATATCTCACAACAGACCTGGTTGTACTCCACATTGTGGATTGGTTGAAGTTAGATAGGACGAAACGGCCGTCCAGTGCTTTTATTTATGTCTCACATTAGAGCTAGAGAACGACGCGAATGTAGATAGTACTAAAAAGCTTTTTTATGTGTAGTGAGTATCCATAAACATTTTTAATGTAAATAATCTTTACAAATTGGTTAACATAAAAATAACTCAATGCTCACTACTTACTAGCTTCACAAATGAATCTTGAAGTTTTAACGAAAAACTTGTAAATGTTGCAGTTCAACCACAGAAATTGATGGCGGTTGCACAGTACTGAGAATTGATTTGATTTCGAAATAAATAAATATTGATTTATAACTTATTATGGTTTGAAATAGTACTGTGATCATGCACAACCGAAAATGACCAAAGGTTGACTCTTATTTATGTTTTGATTGTCGATTGTTTAAGGGGAATCTTAAGCTAGAATGAAATGACTTCCGAGTTCTTTCTCATTCTAATTGGTTATACAGCAGACATCAATCAGTGATGATAGTTCAGTTTATTCTGAACAATCTTCAAATATCAATCCCTTAATCGTAATCGTATTAAAAACTTGTTATTTAATATTTCAAGAGTATTCAGTGCTTTTTTCTCATATATATGTAATATATCTATCCATCAATTGTCGAATGATAAAGAAGAATGCAGAACTATTGCAACACCTTGCAGATTAGCACGAATATCTGTTAGCATAAGTTACCATAACACATCAGTACGACAAGATCAACAACAAAATAACCGAAATAATTTAGTAGCTATGATGAGCAGGAACACTAAGCATAGAAAATATTGTACGAAAAGCTGGGAAGAAAAACATATGTATGAAAGAGTGCTGAAGCTGAAAATTTAGATTTGAATAAAGAGTGAATGCATTTGTGCCATCGTTTGAGTCACTCAACATTTCTAACTGTTGGTTACAAAAATAGCACGGATATCAATTGGATAGTCCTACAAGGTCCAGATCAATAGGTTCATGAATTAATACCCTTTCTAACTGATCACTTCTAGCTTTATTTCAGTTGACTTCAGCAGATATAGCTCTTAGAGATAGGTGGTGTTGGGCATATGTAATATATGTCCCAACCACGTCAATCAATCATGATTTACGAGTTTGCAGCGTACTATAGAAATTACCATTACTGTGGATTCTGTTGTAATTCTAATCCAAATCAGTCCTATCACAAACAGAAAGTAGTTGTAAACACTAACATTGGTGTAAAGAAGCTTTGGTTTGTCAGGTTGACTCGTTTATCACAGAATCCTATCAATTAACCCATTTGTGATACGTTTCAAATGATTTGTTGGATACTGATGCATTCAACATTACATTTTATACACATATTTCTTCCTTTTATTATTTTATTAAGATAAATCTATCAAGCATAATCTGTTTATTACTATTTACTTACGTTCTATTTTACTTCACATACACTGTAAAACAATCAGATATCAACTTTGAATAATCTTTCCTATACTTATGAAACATTCTTGCAACTGTATACTCATTGGCTCGATTCCATTCTTTTGAATAAGAGTAACTGATACTTATCAAAGTATTTTGTTCTGAACAGCTATATGTAAACTCAGTTTACTCCATAACTTAAATAAAGCCAGAACAAACGTTGATGCAAAATAATACGAATTCACTATATTTCGTGGTTTCTCATCAGCTGCTTACAACCAAATATGTATTAGAATTTTACATTAAAGTAAGATATAGTGTGGAACAATTAACATAAGAGAATGCAATGAATTGGAATGACAAGGGTTACCAATAATAACTATACATATGCAAGCACAGATCAAAGGTTATAAGCAATGATGGATAGTGGCTAGCAATAGAGTGCAGGGTGCGCAGTTCGTTCTATTTGAGACTCGTCAACTGGATGTGCCTGCATTTGAGTTGATATTCACTCTGGGACTCGAACCTAGTACTGTTCACCATCGCGTTACCCACTTAGTTTATAATGCTTGTAAATTAAGGCAATATCGGAGCAACACGTACAATATGCACTATAAGAGACTGATCAAATGTAGTCCTAAATATCAATAGAAAGATTCAAGTAAACTATACAAAGGTCAGAGATTATTTGGTGTTAGAATCAAGGAAACATTTGGGTTGGGCGATGTAATAGTTGAGTGAAGTTCAGAGACAGATAAGATAAATTATGTGATAAGTTTAAAGATGATGAAGGATTTGCATAAGATTCATAGACTTAAAAAAACTGGTAATATGGGTTGCATCATAACCTTGAACTGGTAACTATGGTAAAATAAATAATGGGTGTGTAGATTTTAAATAATCTTTGTTTTATACACCTATCTATCTATCTACTTCATAGACTTTTGAATGAATTGTTTGGTTTACTATTTGTTCAATAGTTACCAAGATATTGTTTATCATGATTAACAATTAATTTGTATTCATTATGATTATCTGTGTTACTAACTTGTTTAATGTTTAATACATATCAGTTTATTGTCTATTACTACTTTGCTACATAATTTATAGGTTTTATAAAGGCAAGTGAGTATGAGTTGGATATGTAAATAATGATGATAAATAAAAGACTATGAAAAATATGTCATTTTACCAAACCAAGAGTAGATAACGATAAATTCAATGTATTTATTAAAACAGGGTAAAAATAGTCCAGATATGAGTGAACCATATCCATCAGGAGCCTAAACTGACTACTTTTTGTTAATACAAAAGAAAAAAATACACCGACTAGATTATTATTTATCAGTATAGGGTTCATGATCATAGTATGAGACTCTTCGGTTGTGTACATCTACGTCCTCACATTCATACGTGAATGGAACACAGGACCTTCGATATCACCTGCAAACGCTAACTTTTCAGACCACTAGACCGACATCAAACGGTATTGATGTCTAACTTCAGTTAACCCACGATATCTTCCATTGTCTTCGATGGGTAGCTGCCTTACACCTGACACGATTAAACTCCACTGGTCACAGTTTCTCACTAGAACTAGGAAAATTTTCTCTTGAAGCTAATCGCAAGTGAACTCATGATCATTGTCAGTGTATAGTATTAAAAATTGCTCATTACTTTTTTTTTAATCTAAGCGATATTTTACATCGCATAGCTTACAAAATATTCAGATCTCACTTTCAAATGATCTTTCTTATATATACATGAAAGGTCCCTATCCCAAATCTCCCTTTGACTAAATTTCATTCTTTTGAATAATAATAAGTGATATTGATCAATATATTTTACCCCAGTCAATGATATGTATACGGATTTTATTCATTTCAACTTATATTTCCAGTGACATCAGAATCATGGAGTTTTTTTCGTGGTGTTACTTACTTATTTCGTATGGAAAATGATGAAGATGAATGGAGCTATGATGAAGAGCCACATGTGTCAAGACGAAAAGTATGTTATCGAATATTTGATTATGATTATTATTACTTTGTTCTTTGCACCTTGTTAAATTTATCGAAAAAATATTATCATTCAATTAAACTATCCAGCTCAGAAAATGAATCTTTACCGACATCATCATTCGAAACTATAAATCTTCGTTTTAGTTTAATTAGTGTATGTATATCGGTACAGTAAAACACGACAATAAGCAGGGGTTAACTTATCAGTTGGGAGAAGTTACAAAGTATTTATATAATAATACATATACATAGCCTTCAACCGTCCGTTTACATCTTCCAGGTGTGTTCTATAATCTGAATTGTCTTCTCGACTGACCTTCAAGTGTATTGCCAACACCATCATTTCAATGCATTTGAACACTTCGCTCTGTTCAACAATTGATGCAACTTTGACGCCGCGTTCCGATACACACTACTTACAAACATCCTTATGAGTAGCGTCCACTACAATAAATATATATATCCTAGACAACACTATCTTATAAAACAGAGGGTGATCTAACAGTTTCTAGGATTAATCAGACATCATATGGTTGTGAATGTTCTTTAAAAGATAATGAGAGAAAAACAGCTAGTTTTCATTATAAAGTGGGTGATTAAACTTTGATTACATAATAATTTACATATCTGTGTATCTACGGCTATGAAACATTCAACAACAAAGTCCTTGAATGTTTCATTTCAAAATTTTAATATCAAATTTATATTAAAGTAAAACGTTGTCAGTTAAACAACTGAGCATTTAAAATGACTTGAGTCCTTATGATAGCCAGAGATGGATATTCAATTATTTATGGATACATTAGTAAATATAATTAATAATATAATGCAAGAAGGGGTTTTGTGAATATCATAGTAATTTCAATAGTTGAGATTATGATTCAATTAAAGCTAGACCACCATAGAAAACATGGAAGCACTGGATAGCGTGACTGGCTTCAAGAGGTATTCCCTGGAGTTCTAGTAAGAAGCAGTGATCAGTGGAGTTTAACCATGTCTGTTGTGAGATAGTAACTCATTGAACACAATGGTGGATGTGTCGCTCAATTTCGTGGATTAGTTGAAGTTAGACATTAACACCATTGGATGCCAGTTGGCTCAGTGATCTAGAGGTTGAGTTTACGCACACGAGAATGTTATGTTCTGGGTTCGAATCCTGCAAGACGGGATAGTGTGTTGGCATTACTGATGAGTCCTACAATAGGACGAAATGGGCTTCCAGTAATTGCAGGTTTTCCATGGTGGTCTAGCTTCGATTGACTCATAATCTCATCTATTAAAATAATATAATAATCAAGATCTATGCTTAACGAATTCGTGATAATTCATTATAACTAACTTTAAATATAGTGAAAACATGGACAATATAAAGATACAAATCAATAAAAAGTCTACTCAATAGTCATAAGTAATGATGATTAGAGATAGTTAAAAGTTTTTACTTTCATTGATAGTCGACCAGAAAACTTCACTTCTAACATTTAATTGAACTTAAACAAAATAATATAAATTGTTCACTTAGTATAACTTGTTATTGTCTGAATAAATTCTTATTCTATCTTTAAGAACTCATCTTAAGTTATCCATAAACTATACCATTCATTATTTCAAACATATATGCAAATCTAAATGATGATGATGAATGATGAACTTAAAAACATGTACACCCATTTAGTTTGACTGTATCAATGATTCAGACTGTATTTTATGAATGAAACTAAAACAAGTTCAAATGAATGAATAATTGGAAGGTAGTTTGATTATAGTTGTTTTAAGTATGTTGTGAACATTGTTGAAGTATATTTTTAAGTTTTACATAAAGGATTGATTTTGATAAAAGAATTAGTGAAATTCCGGAAGTAATCTATAGCTCTTTGTCTTAATATACGCTTCAGTCAGTCAGGTACAACATAGGACCAGGCACATAAATACATCGGTTCAAGTTGCCATACCTCATTTACACAACAAGACGAACACCAGATTCACAGAAGTAGTTAATTCAATGGTGATAATATATAAAAGAAAGATTACATATAGGGACATAGTACAGGAAGAAGCAGTTAGTTCGTAGAAAGAAGGATATGAAACGATTTCAATCTCATAGTTTAAGGGAAAACAGAGAGTGTATACACCTACACCATTGTGATCGATTCTGAGCCATGTCACACAGTCTCCAACCATTGGTTAAGATAGCCACGTGGAGCGCAACCAAGTAGTCTGCATCTACGAACATGGCTAAGAATATAGGTTAGTGACTTCAATAACTGATGTCACGTTTTGATTTGGTGGCCCTTGACTTTCTTCCAGACATCCCTAACACTAGTCAGCACTGCGTGCCGTGGTAATCGTAGTCCAGGCATACGTAACACGTGGCCCAACCATATATGCCTAAAAGCCCTAGGTTCAATTCCTGGTAATCTGTTTCAAGTACCTATAAAGTGAGTTGTTAATGTTCAATTAGTAATATGATTAATAAAATCGATAGACATTCGTGCTTTGTTCAAATAAATTTTATTGTACTTGACCTTCATTCTCTTTATTTCTAAATTAAGTTTTTCAAAAATGAAGTCCTGAACTTATAAAAGTATAGAATTATTTCCAAATTCGATTCTTTAGTATATAAACCTTAAAGGTTCCAGTTAGGAACGTGAAACCTGGATCCTGACGATTATCAATTTATCAAATTTGTGGTGACAGTTCAATTTTATAGTTTACATCTTGAACTGGTCTTAGTTGGTCACATAATAAAAATCAGTAAGCACCAGTGAGTTGTTTCATTCTAGTATGAGACTACATATCAAAGTGAGTTCATGACTGCACTTGAGACTGAACTCCGGAATCTTTAGGTTAAACCACTAATTTACCATTCAATAATCTACATTTTTAACCTAAATCGATTCAGGATATTGTACAACCATTTCCTAATGCTATCAGTAGATAGCTCACTCTTAATCAACATCGCTAATATGTTATCTTACGTACCTATATTATTGATGCTTTTTTCGTAACTAGAAGACAATTGTTCAGGAACATTCAGTTTGGTATAATAAGATCTACGTTTTTCGCATAGAAATAAAACAGAAATCATTAATTTTCTTCTTCAGTGTCCTATTAATCATTCGTCCAGGAACTCAGTTATTCTATATGCTAAAAAGAGGATTAGTAGTCTATGTGATATTTGATTTTGTTTCTTTAAACTACAAAGTATCGAACAATCATGTTGTACTATTCTTTATGATTCAAACTTTAAATTGTATATGACTGAACATGTAAATTCCATGGATCATGACAAATAATGAATAATAAATCTCAATTTGTAGATAACTAGAACACCTATGATATAAAATTGAATAATCAGTTTATAGATTACGATAAGACTAATCTATAATGAGTTAATAAATTAAAAAAAATGAGGGCTTAGAATTAGAACTGTTATGGATTTAAGTTTGCTGTCGAATTTTACCCTGTGCTAATTGTTGTGTCCTTGACTGGAAAATTAGAGAGCAGCGTACTTATCGACCGATTACAGTGACACGTAAACACGTACGGACGGCCTAGAGTCTCGATTGGTCCCACTTCCCTGTCTAGCCCAGTTAGTTGAGTCCAGAACACAAGTCACAACCTCTGAGATATGAATCATTATATTTCAAACATACTTTGTTTATATACCAACCAAGCATATCACATCGTACCATAAAAATAGAAAACAACATTTTGTACAATATTCAACAAGTGAACAGATATCGACCAATAGGAAATGTCCATCTAAAGTCCAAGGACACCATTGGACTTAACATGATAATTATTGGTCTATTCCTCCGCATCCACAACAAGAACAATCTACAAAATTCTATCAATCAACTGTTTAAGAAATACACATATAAACATATTAAAAGAATACTTATTATTCTATTCTAATAGTTGAGATCATGGAAAACCTGCAATTACTGGAAGCCCGTTTCGTCTTATTGTAGGACTCATCAGTAATGCCAACACACTATCCCGTCTTGCAGGATTCGAACCCAGAACATAACAGTCTCGTGTGCGTAAACTCAACCTCTAGATCACTGAGCCAACTGGCATCCAATGGTGTTAATGTCTAACTTCAACTAATCCACGAAATTGAGCGACACATCCACCATTGTGTTCAATGAGTTACTAACTCACAACAGACATGGTTAAACTCCACTGATCACTGCTTCTTACTAGAACTCCAGGAAATACCTCTTGAAGCCAGTCACGCTATCCAGTGCTTCCATGTTTTCTATGGTGGTCTAGCTTTAATTGAATCATAATCTCAACTATTGAAATTACTATGATATTCACAAAAACTTCTGATTCTGTTCTATTTTAATAGAGAACATTTTTCAAACTTTATCTCTTTTTTATTTATTTGCCCATTAATGACGAATTCATATTGTGGTTAAGCTCACATTAAATAGTAAGATCATAATCCAGTGTTTAAGATTTAAACTTTGAACTCGGTTGAAATTTGATACACTACTAATTCTTAAAGTATGAATTAAATTAAATATAATTGTATAACCTCGAGAATTTTCTACTATAATTCTCCTATACGAAATCAAAACCCCAATAGTACGTGGGTCTCATAACGATCACCACGTTTGTTTTACACAATACAATGGACAATCAATGCAGAACACTTAATTAGTTCAATTTGAAACTCGTTATCTGAATCTACCTATATCCTGATATTAATCTTCAAGATGGGACTTGGAGTCAGTGACTTTTCCTTCAAATGTAAACCTTTTATCTACTAAGCTGCCCAATACATTATAGCCAATAACTTCCATCACATGTGTTAATGGGATCCATACAGGTTGCACATATCCCAACTAGGACTTATTAAAATTTAATCTTGAATATCAACAAAGTGGTAATCCAAACCGTTGGAATTCGATGATCCAAACTTTTTACTCTTAGCAATTTATGGTGTTGTTGATCATCTAACATCTCACTCTGACTATAATTGACCTTTACTAGTCATTAGATTTCAATAATTATCCACAGATATTATTTAAGTTCATTCAAACTTTCTGTTGAGCAAGCTACCGAAGCACAACAAAGAACAAAATATTTTAAGCAGTATCCCCTATTTTATTGAGATCATGGGTTGACCAATGTTAGATCACCATTGAAAGCCTGGAGACACTGGACTGTCGTTACTTACCAGATAGGGACTCCAGCAGTGTCCCAACCTCAAACACAGGACCTTCGGTATGTGACGCGAACACCTAACCTCTATACTACTTGATCGGCATTTAACAGTGTTAATGTCCGACTTCAGTCAATCCACAATATTGTATGACATTCTTTATTGTGTTTGGTAGATAGCGGTCTCATACCTGACACGACTGAACTCCACTCGTCACGGATTCTCACTAGAACTCTATACTGATGGTTATCATGTGCTTACTAGTGACTAGCTTTAATAGGTAACTCTCAGAGTTCTGGTGTGATTGCGAAGTTCTTATGCGAAGCTGAAGGTCCTGGTTTCGAGCCTAGCATGCAGAACCGTGGATGTCCACTGCCAATGGGGAGTGTCTTGCTAGAACGTAAGAGTCATATAATGTTTCTAGGTTTTCAATGGTAGTCTAACACTGATCAGTTCATAATTTCAATGAGCCTCAACAATCTCCCCAATCCTATGCCAATAATCTCCTACTTCCTCTACTTCTTCTATTTTCTTTCTTTTCTTTTTCAAGGAAATTTTATCAAAATATCCAGAAGTGAAAAATCTTATGGGACCAGATATTAAATTGGCTTATTTTAGTTCATTTGAAGTATTGTTACAATTTATTGTAGCTGTATACATATCAATTTATCAACCACCATTCTTAATATGGTTATTTTTAACATATGCAATCAGTGGAACACTTAATCATTCACTTGGTTGTGCTATACATGAAGTTGGACATAATTTAGTATTTGGGCATAAATATGGTAAAGCAAATCGTTTATATTCAATATTTATTAATTTACCAATGGGTTTACCTATTGCTATATCTTATAGAAAATATCATCAAACTCATCATAGGTAAGATAATTTCTATTGATATTATATTACTTATAAGTAATATAATTATATCCTGATTGTCTTGATATAACGATTATGATACTATATTACATAGAATAGATGAAATGTAACTAGTAATGGAATTTGTACTCATTAGTCAGGTTGGATAACATCAATGTTTAAAGAGAACTGTTCTGGGTTCGAGTCCCGGAATGAACATCAACTGTTTGATGGAGGTACACCTAGGTGATAAGTTCTTAATAGAACGAAAATGAGCTCCTTGATTTCAGTGTTAGCCACACTTCATGTATTCTATAAAATTATATTTATTGTTGTTATTATTATAACGTTATCTTTTGGCCCCTTAATAGTTTAAGCACTGGGTGCGGGGCCCAAAGATTTTAGATTTGGTCTCTGTTGAAGTTATGGACAAAGAAACTATCCAATGCTTCCTAGCTTTCAGTGGTGACGTCCAACTAGATTTAATTAAGTAAATGATATCTGCTTTATAACACATAACAACCAAAAATTTGTCATATTCGCTCGTCTAAGTTATCAGGTTTTAATTTCTTCATTAAGCGATGAGTGTGTAGTTTCCATGTGTATGAAACATGTAGGTTTTTATCGAAAAAAGAGAGGAATATGCTAGTAAACAAGCCAGGATTTGTGTAAATGATTAACTTTTAGTTCACATCACAAATGACCTCACTTGGAAAATCATAAAAAACTAAAAAGTACTAAATAGCTGCGTTTCATTGTATGAGACATCTCATTGGTGTGCATCTACAGTCTCAGTAAGAATGAAAACTAGAGTCTTCGGGTCTTGTGGTAACCACCTTACCTTCAGATCACTGAGTTGACATCCACTGATGTATATCTCTAACGATATTTCACAACCATCTTCCCATGGGAGTGATGGAAATTGATTCACACTCCACATCGTCTAACTCCATTAGTCACAGTTTCTCACTATAAATCCGCAAGTTATCTCTCGTAAATTACTACCATTAAGCTCGTAGTATGTCAACCACTGAACTTCAACTCGGTTGTTTGATGTCTAGGCGATCACTGTGACACTTCTCTGGTCCAAAGTTTGATCCTCTCAAGTGATTGTGAATTCACAATGATAAGAAGTCTCACACTAGAATGAAATAGTTGTCTAGTACTTTCTGGCTTTTACTGATTGAATAACTAAAGTTTGTTCATGATATAAACCATAAATTTCTTGATTGAGATCATGAACCAATTGATGTTAGACCACCTTTGGAAACCTGGGAGCACTGGACGGCCTTTTCGTCTTATTGTGTGACTCCTCAGCAGTGTGCACCCACGACCTTGATCACAAGATTCGAACCCAAGACCTTCGATCTCGCGCATGAACGCTTAACCTACTGGACCACTGAGCCAGCATCCAATGGTGATAGTGTCTAATTTAAACCACTTTCTACCTTTTTCTAATTTAGACCAGGAAATATATGTATATACTGAATAAGTTCATTAAGCCTATTACCCATCATGAAGTATAAACTCCACACCGACTTCACACTTCCAATAGTTACAATGTACCACTCACGATATTCAATATCTCTATCAAATTCCCTACTCTATGCGTCTCTTTCCCTTTTTATTTATTTATTCATTATAAGAAGCTTTATTCAACATTTTATTTTTGGTACAACATAGAATTCTCAGCATAATGTATTTCAACAAGTTCCCTTTTCTTATACCTTGATCGATTGTGACGATAAATTTTCAATGATGACCAGTTAGATGTTAAGAGTTCGGTAATCCACATTTGATTAATGTTCATTCGTTTCAATGCATATTGCCAGCCATCATGATGTCGCTGATTGTACCTTTTTGTATCCCGTATAGCGAAAGGTTGTAATTATTTTATTATTTATTTTATTTGAACACATAAATATTGGTACAAGAGAGCCCCCCTGAATGCCCTGGTACGGGCGAGAGTGGGAAGAGTCCGCTCTCCCTCTCGAAATACTCTCACACAGCCACGCGTATACAGCCCCTGCTAGGGAAGTCCTACTCACTACCTTCTCGTGGCGGGGTTGTTGTTTACGAAAATGAGAGGACGAAAAGCGAATGTCCGGCGCTTTAACCGGATTCCAAATCAATGGTGCACATGGGCTCCAGTATCCTGCGGGAACGAATGGCGTATGAACCAATCGTTGGTCACCGGCTACCATGGGACTGCATCTCCTTACGATGCTCCACTGCCTTGTGTGTTAGACCTTTAGGTCAAAGGCTCGGGGAGTGGCCCCCTAAGATAACCACCTGCTTCGGTTTGGGCATCCGGGCAGTATCACAGCCCACACACAAATTGATGAACTCTTTATGCCTATGGAAATTACCTTTCTCGCTTTGAAAGATTGTAAACTTTTCATAAACGCGCCTGAATAAATTGTGCGCACAACAGACATAATGATGTGCTAAAACAAACAATAAAATAGATAACTTGATGAAATATCTAGATCAGAGGAACAGGTAGCCCAGATATTCAAGCAGGCCACCTGTTATAGTATTTCAAATTAAGGTTTACCTCATGAATTCCACAATGTATATCCTATTCACTTTCAATAACTTTTTCCTAATTTCCTATTCAACTAGTAATTAGTTTATACTCTATAACAGTAGATTTCAACCAATCGATCACATTTTTTTTCCTTTATCATTTTCTTTTTTTCTTTTCTAGATGGTTAGGTCATGAAAATGGTGATGCTGATATGCCATTAAATTTAGAAGTGAAATTATTCACTCATCCAATAAGTCGTTTTATATGGATTATTATACATCCATTATTTTATGCATTTCGTCCTTTTATAAAACATCCATTACCATTAACATTATGGGAAATAATTAATTTTCTTATTCAAATTACATTCGATATAATAGTTTGGTATTATTTTGGAATATGGACATTATGTTATTTCATTATTGGTACATTACTTGGTTTAGGTTTACATCCATTAACTGGACATTTTATAAGTGAACATTATTTATTTATTGATCAACAAGCAACACATTCATATTATGGTATTGCCAATTATTTAATGTATAATTTAGGTTATCATGTTGAACATCATGATTTTCCATATATTGCTTATACAAAATTACCTAAATTAAAAGAGATTGCTAGTGAATATTATGATCATTTACCATATCATACATCATTATGTAAGGTAAGTTAGTGTTTATTGTTGAATAATTTTGTTGAATGATTGTTTAATTATTACTATTATTGTGTGAGGGGTGTGATACTGTTAGGGTGCCCAAACCGAAGCAGGTGGTTATCTTAGGGGGCCACTACCCGAGCCTTTGATCTAAAGGTCTGATCCATAAGGCAGTGAAGCGACATGAGGAGATGCGGTCCCATGATAGCCGGTGACCAATAATTGGTTCATATGCTATTTGTTCACTCAGGATACTGGAGCCAGCCCATGTGCATCATTGGTTTGGAATCAGTGTTTTCTAACTCCCCTAGATGAACTCTCCATGTCCACCAACCCGATTAAAGTGCCGGACATTCGCTTTTCGTCCTCTTAACTTTGTAAACAGCACTCGTGATGCGAGAAGTCAGTGAGTAGGACTTCCCTGGCAGAAGCTATATACGCGTGGTCGTGCGAGAGCATTTCGAGAGGGTGAGCGAACTCTCCCCACTCTTGGCCGTACCAAGGCATTTGGGGAGATGATTGCTTATTAGGTGAGACTACAGTTTACGGATGACCTTTGAATGAGGCTAGAATGACCTTAAGAATATCTATCAACCTGTTAGTGTTATAAGAGGGTTATAAATTAGTGTGAACGAGAAATCAAAATATATTGATAAGATATTAGAACCATACATTATATACTTCATTTGTCAAATTCCATCATTTATCCTTCACAATCTGTATGGTTCTTCCAATTTACAAATCTTTTGTATTTCCGTTTCTATTCTACCCAACTCGATCTTCTTAGTCTTCTGCTGCCAGGTTTTCCACTTCCGTTTGGTGTTACATACTACTTATGCCTGTCAACATAAGTAGTATACACCACATGAAGAGTTGGGAATTGTAGTATTTCGATCACGAACTAGCATCAGTTGCAATATCAAAATGTTATTGAATCATTAGGATTAATGAATTCCACGCCAAAAATCATGATTCTCTATCTTAAATCTGATTAGTTGGTTCATTAATTATACTCTCGACGTTTATTGCTTGTTCGAGTATCCTACTAACATCTACACTTCTTGTATCTGTGCTCAATAACTGTTACTCGAGTGATAAAAGCAGTAGTGTGTAGATTAGTCAACCGAATCTAAAATATATATACATCACTCATATATAAATATTCATCTTTCTTCGTCAAAAAAATAAAACCAGATTGTCAACTAATAAGGATGAACTAACATACACAGATTTCCTCACCTATTATTAGCTTCTAAAATGAACTCACTGAGTGTACACTGTTTGTTACTGTGCTGAATAAAATATTGTCTAATCTATACTACAAATCTTTGTTACTAGACATAAATTCAACATCATAAATATATTGTGTTCACATCTGTGTATTGGGTATCAATCAATTATAAAGTCTAGAGTTAGCAAAATGTTGATCACCGATCGTATTATCATATTACAGTTGTATATCGTAACAAGGGGGGGGAACATTTTTATTTAACCGTTACATCACAAATTTAATCACATTTTATCAATTATACACAACATGTATTGAATTTCACACATGATCACTTATTCAAACACTGGCTGTATACATATATTTAGATGGTGGTTGGAGGTAGTCAACAGGAAACCCTGGACCCGAGTTTCGTGCTACTTGGCACTCGTCAGCAAGGTGTACGTGTTATCTTGAGGGAACTGGTACTCCCTGGCGGATTCGATCTCGTGTCACCCAGCTTCACAGTCAGAGACGTTACCACTGAGCTATCCGAGCCGCGACTGACCTCCTGTAGGACTGAGATGTTGTCACAATTGATTGATCACTGGGTGGTGATCAATGTCATGCTTGTCTAGTCCATATTTAGTGCAAATCGAATGCTATCGATCATGTTGCAATGTGGCCACTGCTCGGATAGCTCAGTGGTAACGTCTCTGACTGTGAAGCTGGGTGACACGAGATCGAATACGCCAAGGAGCACCAGTTCTCTCAAGATTACAGGTACACCTTGCTGACAAGTGCCAAGTAGCCCGAAACTCGGGTCCAGGGTTTCCTGTTGACTACCTCCAACCACCATCTAAATCTCAATACATAGTGCCCGCAGTGTCGAGTCACTTAGACTGGTGGCCACATTGCAACATGATCGATAGCATTGGATCTGCACTAATAAGGACTAGACAAGCATGACATTGATCACCACCGCGTGATCAATCAATTGTGTATACATATATCTTCATATCATGGTTACTAAATTTTCATTTTAATCATAGTTAATTTGCACATAAGTATTCAATGAACTTCCCTTATTTATATTCTATGGAATTTTAATACAAACATATATATTCATATATATTACGTATTTACTTACGGTTAATATAAGATTTGATCTATGGTTTTAGAGATTTCATCACAAACTGACAACTTTGAATATGAACTTGAGTTTGTCTAGATTCGAGTTATCGAGGATTTAGAAGAGTACATTAATGATTTTACAGAGATTGAATGACTCAGGAATTCCTAATTTCACTATAATCATAATATTATTTTGTTCATTAGTTAGTACTTTTGAAAGTTGACATTTCAAGCTTCAATCCGATTACATTAATAATTCATCCAATCCATACTGTAGGCTTACAGATCTCAACTAAAACTTTAGATGAATTTATTCAAAATTTAATCACATGTTAGAACATTTAAAACTCGAGATAAGATATAGGTACATCGAAGTCAGAATCTTTAATACAAATGTAAAGACAGTTATACCGTAAGGAGCTGAAACTTGGCGAACTATTACAACCATCATCAATAAGGTACAAATATTTATAAATAGTTGTCTACGTAAGATACTCAACATGTATTGGCCGGATACCATCAGCAAAGTCCTACTTCGGCAGGGAACAAACCAACTTGTAACTTAGGAGGAAGTTATAATAGGACGTATACATTTTGGAGATCATCAAACTGCATCACGAGGCAAGCGCTAACTTGGAATTCTGAATGGAAGCTGAAATGATGGAGGTCAAAGAACACATTCAGTCGGAAAATAGAATCAGATATGAAAAGGATGAATAATAACTGGAAAGTTTTGCCCCGGACAGGGTTGGATGGTGAATGCTGATGAGAGGCCTTTGCTCCTGCACGAGGAGTAACAGGCGTAAGTAAGTAAGTAAGCAAGTAAGTAACATCGGCGCCATTGATCCATATTATCCACTACCTCCAATTATTTCATGATAATCATCAAAGGCTTCCAAGATAGATAAATGTAACAGTGATTCATCTTATTTACTATTAATTTACTTTGTTTTAATCAGGTTTTATGGGATTTTGTATTTAAACCAAATAATGGTCCACAAGCTCATTGTGTTACATCACAAGATTTATCAAAACCAGAAATATATAATCATCAACCAATATCAAGTAATGGATTAAAATGTACTAGAGAACTTTTAAAAATATCCGAATGTGAACAATGTAAAAAAGAGAAAATAAAAAAGAAAGAATAAATCATAATACCCATTTGACTATGATTCACAAGTATGTTTAGGTTGTTGTGTTTAGTTTGTTTACACGTCTATAATGAAGTAGGTTGTTTTTTTTTAGACTTTGTTACTGATGTAGTTTGTATATAAATATGTTAATTCTCAATCATTTGGATGTTCAACATTTAATATTGTTCTCTTCAAACCTTCATTTCAACAATAGAATAATGATTACATTAGGATAGTAAGTAAATAGGCAGCGATATGTATATATATATATATAACCATTACTATACACATATCATGAACTAAGAAATGATAGAGATGAGGAATTCAATGATCAATGCATTATCATATATTAGTTCAGTCAAATGTAAAGATCATATCAACTTTGAACTGTTTTGAACAAAGTATACTTTACTTTCATTCTGATTACAGTGTTGATTACTTTCAGTTATCTTTTCTTTCTTTAGTTCAATCTTCTTAACCTACCATTCACAGATATTCCATTTCTGATTGATGTTACACATTACTTATATCTACAAATATAAGTTGCATACATTATATATATTACTTACTTACTCCTGTTACTCCCAATGGTGCATAGGTCACCGACCACCATTCTCCAACCCACTCTGTCCTGACATATATAACATATACATAAGGATAAACTCGCTTTCTTCTCCTCAGATTTCTTTTTTTTTTATTCATTTCATTACTCTGTTATACTCATTATAAATTAATATCATTTATCAAACTATATTGATCATCAGCATTACTATTTCATAATGACATATAATTTCTATTCTTTGTTTTCTTGTTTTGATATTCTGAACTATTCAATGTTCAATGTGTGTATTGTACGTTGATTGAAAATCGTTTTTAAAAAAAAACAAACTATATACTTAAATGTATGTGTTAACTATTGGTTTGTAATATTAACAGTAATAGTAGTGGTCTATAGAATAGTTGAAGTCTTAAGTTGACGATTAACAAAACCTGAAATAACTGAATGGTGGTATTAGACTTCTCAAATTAGTACAATCTCTACAAATCTAATTCTGATTATAATCATGTGATCACTAGTGACTAGCTTCACGATGAATTTCCTGAAGTTGTAGTTAGAAGCTTTAGGCAGTGGAGATAATGTTTTAAATAAACAATTGTCGTGCAACTTGGTAGAATGGTTGAAGTTAGACATTACCGCCGTTGGATGCGTGTCTATTGTCTAAAGATTAATCGTTTAAATAGAGCAAGAACAAACATTGATGCAGAATAGTATGAATTCATATTATTTCGAGGTTTGTTGGCTAGAGCAAAAGTCGTGGGTTCGAATACTCTTAGTTCGGGATCACGAATGTTAACTATCATCCTCTGTTGGTCGACTCATGAATTCAATTAAAATTACTACAATCTCCACAACTCCCTATTCTGATATTTATTTTGTGTACTTAATCTAGTAAAATTACTTGTTAATTAGATCCTTAAGATATTTTGAAAATGTCGTCTTCCAAATATTAGATTTTTGATTGAATAGTCAGTAACTAAAATCTTCTGTATACTAATAATCATGTGCACATTATGAGACCAGGAAATCTAGTGATAATGCACGTCCATCGGACTTCAATCGTTTAATTGTGAGATGGCATTCAATAACAACGTAGAAAAGTCATATGTACCATATCTACTGAAGATGAAAGCGTGTACAAGTGAATACTAACTCAATAGTCTAATTCTTAAAGAGAATCCTGAATATCCTAGGTTCTAACATTAGTGAAGTCATGAATATGAACACCTGAAGAATCACATATATTAGAAATGTAAGAATCCTAAAGCATTGAGAATTGTGAACAATTGTATAAGGTTGACTTGAAAATATACAAACTCAATCAAAATCGATTACTCAGTAGGTTCTCTACAACCGTTTAATTAGGCACTGACATCAATGTCTAAAACAACATTGGAAATTACAACAAGCGATTCCGCTCAGAAAATTCAATAACGTCAATATTTCACGCAATGACGTTAAATTCGACTCTTTACAATGAAATATTAGACCTAAGGGAAGACAAAGAGTGAGTGCATTTGTCCCTCTTGTGATCGATTCTGAGTCATGTCATTCAATGTTGGTGTTGGTTAGATGTGAGCATCATCTACAGTCATCCTTCGGTTGTCCAACTATACTCAAAGTATATTTCAAAGAGATTTATGACTTTCTTCAGAGGCCATATTCCCCATCAACAATTCAAAACAGAAGGAACAGATACACGGTATATTGACTCGTAATATGGAAACTCGTAAAAATGAGATTTTCCCAATTGTTCTTATGGAGAAAGAAAACCCACTATGCAAATAATCCACAATAAACAATTCAAATATAACTTAGTAATATCGAAAGATTCATCAAAAAAACAACCAACATCATTTCATTATAGAAATTTTATTAATTAATTAATTAATTAAAGGTTACATTTAGTTTACATACCAGTTTAACAATCATATTCTCATTTAATACTTCATTTAATGCATACCATTGTCAAATTGCAAAACACATTTGTACCGGCGATATTTCGACACCTCATTTAGAATGAATTAATATTCTTTTGTCTAAAGTGTTGTACAATCGATATCACTGCGGGGATTAACGAAACAATTGCTTGAAATACTGTCATTATTATAAAACCGAAGAAACCCATTACGTCTTAATGATGATGATGACGGTGAAGCAGCAGAAGGAATGCAATCCAGTCAAACAAATTTACTTGTCGACAACTTCATTTACTTAAACTGTACAACCGTATTTATAGTCAATTTTTTTTCCATCCCCTAAATTAGTATTCTAAAGTGAGATAGAAAGGGGCTAATTGATTATTTTTTTTAAAGTACCTTTCAAGTGATATGTTGTCACTAATTGAAAATGGACAATGATTTCACCATATCACTTGTTCACTAGACGATTATTACGTAATCGAATATAGAGTTGAAACCGTTTTATGTTCAAGTATTTGTTCCATAAGAACATGTGATCAAAGCCTAGACATGATGATGTAATCGAAAGATTACAATATAAGATTACATAATGTAAATGATTAAAATAATTGAATGTAATTATTAATAAGGCAATAGGGATGTATAATTAAGACATAATTATCAATAAAGTCTAGACAATATGAGACATTTTGTTATCCTCCCCCCCCCTGTCTCATTTTATCATAATTATGTCTGAGATATCACTATTTTATATAATTTCACACCTTTATTACCTATAATTAATGTAACACAAAATCATTTTTGGTTATCTCACTGCATTCATAATAATAATTTGTTGCTAACTTGATAATTGTGTTATTAATATTCACATTACGTAATCTCATATTGCAATCTTCCGATTACATCATCATGTCTAGACTTTGATCACATGTTCTTATGGAATGAATACTTGAACATAAAAAGGTTTCAAATATATATTCGATTACGTAATAATCGTCTAGTGAACAAGTGATGACCTTTGATAGGTATTATAACTGCAGAATAAATAAAAGTTGTTGATTGAGATTATGAACCGATTGATGTTGGATCACGATTGAAAACATGAAAACACTGGAAGGCTATTTCGTCCTACTGTAGGACACCTCAGCAGTGTGCAACCACGATCCCACCTCATGGGATTTGAACACATGGACTTCGGTTTTGTGAGCGAACACTTAACCTCTAGACCACTGAGCCGTCATCTGATGGTGTCAATGTCTAATCTCAACCAATCCACGAAATCGTGCAACCATCTTCTATTGTACTGAGGTAGATACCTGTCTCTACCTGACACAGTTTAACTCCAGTGATCACACTTTCTCATTAGAAACCCGAGAATCCATAAACGAAGCTAGTCACTAGTAGGCACATGGTAATTATCAATATACGGTTGTGGAGATTATTAAGTTATGGATTGAGTTCATGAACCGATTGATGTTGTAATTACTACTAGTTAATAGCTGTGAAGATAATTAGAAAGGAGTAGAAATGACAAAATAAATAAAAACAATAGAGTATGGATGACAGAAATGGAGGTTTGGACCATGGAAGAATGACGAATTATTGAACTTGCTATATTTGTTCGATAAAATTAGACTTAAACTGATGGAAAGTAACAGCTTCTAATGCACATAAGCTTTTCATTTGCATTCTTATTGAATCAACTTCTCTGACTGTATGTATGTTTCTTAAAGAGGCGTTCCGTTGAGTGGAGTGTCCGGAATAGACTAGATGCTCCAAGAGTGACTGCCGTAGCCCTATGGAGAGCCAGGTAATCTAATGTTAGAATATACCTTTTGTGCTGCCATTATGACCTGCTCCATATGGTCAAGTTCACCGAATTCGTGACTCGATCTGAAAAGTTCAATACTAGGACAAAACAATCGTCCAGTCCTTCCAGCATTTCAACGGTCGTCTGGCCCACTTTTGAACCAGTTCTCTTTACTTTTTACACGATTTCAAATGACGATTCTTGTGATGAGGTGTGAGCCTATTTAATCATCTGTTCAAGAACTAAGTTCCTGATCGTTTTACATACGTCTTTAGATAACCATTCACGGTCGTGCTGAAGTGTTCGTTCATCAAATGTGTGTATGCGTACGTGTTTGTGAATTTGGAGAAACTACTATGGTTAATCGATAACTATCCATCCTTTTCTAACGGTCATGTAGTTGTTACCGTTCGTTTTTAGAAATGGGGTTTGTGGAGATTGTAGTAATTACAAACAGTTGAATTCATGGGTCGATTTAAGCTAGACTACTACTGAGAACTGGGAAGCACTGGACGACCGTTTCTTCTCAGAATAGGACTCCTCAGCAGTGTGTATCCACGATCCTACACACAGGATTAGAACCCAGGATCTTGAGTCTCGTGTGCAAACTCTTAAACTCTGAAAAACTGAGCGGGCATCCGACGGTATTATTGTCAAAGTTCAATCAGTCCACGAAATTACACATCCATCTTCCATTGTCCGAGGTAGATATCAGTCTCTACCCGACACAAATTGAACTCCACTAGTCATAGCTTCTTACTAAAACTCCGAGAATCATCTCTCAAAGGTGATAAGTTCTATACTAGGATGAAATGTCCATCCAATTCTTTCTGGCTTTCAGTGATGATCTAACATCGATTAATTAATGATCTCAAATCCAAAACTCAACAATCTCCACAACCTTATACTATTAAATCTATTTATTCAATTATTCAATAAATTGATTCTACAATAAACATATACTAAATCACAAAATACTTCTCTATTAATAACAACACAATCTAATCGAACAAAGTTAATGTAACCTACTCATATTGATTTATGAACAATCGATCACAGATAACTTTTCATGATGAATATTAAAAAAATAAAAACATGGTCGGTTGTTAATAGCTGAACACAAACACACACACACACGCACACAAAAGATGACATCAATGAGTTTAAAAACTATAAAAGAAAAGCAGAACTTGAAGAGATTTTGATCCATGGATCAGTTCATTCAACTAATTCAACGATTCATGTTCATCTATTTCTTCAAATAATCAGATCAGAACACATCATATACGATCAATTTTGTCTAGTGTTAAATAAAAGATAAATTTTCATACATTTGTTTGTGATTCATGGTTCTATTCATTAACAATAAAGGAATCACGAAATTGCGTGACCATCTTTGATTATCTTTATCTAACATGAAGTAAGACATTAACACAGTTGAATATCAACTCAGATGGATGGAAGTTAAGAGTTTGTGCGCGATAGTGAAGGTGCTGGTTTAGAATCCTATATGTGCGATCATAGATACGCAGTATTGAATAGTTCCATACTAATTCCATCTGTTAAGTTCCAAATAAAGAGAATCATGTATCGTTGATCTAATTATTAGCCATTATCA